ACCAGGAGACCACCAAGACGGCCGAACATGGCCCTACGATGGCCCAAGACGGCCCAAGAGGCCTCCAAGAGGGCCTGCAGGAAGGCCCGAAAAAGCCAAAATCATGTGTTTTCCCATGAGTTGTTGAAGGATTGTGGCATTTGCTGTTTTTCTGCCTTCCGACGGCCCGAGACGGCCCAAGTACCCCCAAAGCTCGCCCAAAAGGCCCAAGACACGGCCCCAAGAGGCCCCCAAGACGGCCCAAGAGGTCTCCAAGACGCTCAAGATGGCCTCCAAGACGGCCCAGGAGCCCTTCAAGACGTCCTCCAAGAAGGCCCGAAAGGGTCAAAATGGCCTCCAGACCGCCAAGATGACCTTCAAGATGCCCACGTGTTCCCCGAAGGCTTTCCAAACCGATTCGGGGAACACATGGTCCGATAGCTTGGCAAGTCTGGCCTCAACGTTCGGCCACATAGGCGCTTCCACAAAGGCAGGGGGCGGCGGTGATTCGCCGTAGGCATCTTCGATCCGCCGCCCCCTGTCCATTCATCGCAAGGGTGCCTGGCGTGCCAAACTATTACGGTTTTGGGTTTTTTTCCAAAAGAACTCCCCCTGGGGCTTCGGCCCGTCCCGCCGGCCACCCGGAAAGCGCGCAATTCTCGAAATGTTTCGCTACAGATGGCCCAAGATGGTCTCCAAGATGGCCACGTTGGCCCAAGATGGCCTCCAAGATGATCCAAGATGGCCTCCAAGTCCGCCCAAGATGGTCCAAGACGGCCTCCCATACGGCCCAAAGAGTCCAAGACGGCCGAAGACGGCCCAAGAGGCCCTCCACAGGCCTCCAAGACGGCCCAATAGGCCTCCAAGAGGTCCTCCAGGAGGGCCCGAAGAGGCCAAAATCATTGATGTTCCTTCGGTTTTGAAGGATTTTCGATTTCGCTGCTTCTCGGCTTTCCGACGACCCAAGACGGCCCACGAGGCCCCCAAGATCGCCCCCACAGCGCCCAAGAGGCCTCCAAGATGGCCTCAGGACTGCCCAAGAGGACCCCAAGACGGCCCCAAGAGGGCACAAAGACGAAGCAAGAGGCCTCCAAGACGCCCAAGATGGCCTCTAAGACGGCCCTGGAGCACCCCAAGAGGGCCCCGAGTCGGCCCGAAAGGCCCCCCGAACGGCTTCCGACGGCGTCAGGCGGGCCAGGAGCCCACCAAGATGGCCGAAGTTGGCTCGTAGCTGGCCCAAGACGGCCCAAGAGGCTTCCACGAGGGCCTCCAGGAAGGCCAGAAAACGCCAAAAACACTGATGTTCCGAGATGTTCGATGGATTTTGACATTTGCTTCGTTTCGGCCTTCCGACGGCCCGATACGGCCCAAGGGCCGCCAAGATCGCCCACAGATCGCCCAAAAGGCCTCCAAGATGGCCCCAGAACGGCCCAAGAGGGACCCAAGACGGCCCCAAGAGGGCCTCAAGACGGCCCAGGAGGATTTTAAGACGCCCAAGATGGCCTCTAAGACGGCCCTGGAGCACCCCAAGAGGGTCCCAAATCGGCCCAGAGAGGCCCCCCAAACGGCTTCCGACGGCGTCGGACGGGCCAGGGGCCCACCAAGACTGCCGAAGATGGCACTAAGATGGCCCAAGACGGCCCAAGAGGCCTCCAAGTGGGCCTCATGGAAGGCCGGAAAAGGCCCAAATCATTTGTTTTCCCATGAGTTGTTGAAGGATTGTGGCATTTGCTTTGTTTCGGCCTTCCGACTGCCCGAGACTGCCCAAATGCCCCCAACGATCGCCCAAGAGGCCCAAGACAGCCCCAAGAGGCCCCCAAGACGGCCGGAGAGGCCTCCAAGACGCTCAAGATGGCCTCCAAGTCGGCCCAAGAGCCCTCCAAGACGTCCTCCAAGAAGGCCCGAAAGGGCCAAAATGGTCTCCAGACCGCCAAGATGACCTTCAAGCTGCCCACGTGTTCCCCGAAGGCTTTCCAAACCGATTCGGGGAACACATGGTCCGATAGCTTGGCAGGTCTGGCCTCAACGTTCGGCCACATAGGCACATAGGCGCTTCCACAAAGGCAGGGGGCGGCGGTGATTCGCCGTAGGCGTCTTCGATCCGTCGCCCCCTGTTGATTCATCACAGGGGTGCCTGGCGTGCTAGATGATTTCGGTTTTGGTTTTGGTTCTTTTTCCAAAAGAACTCCCCCTGGGGCTCCAGCGCGTCCCGCCGAGGTCCCGGGAAAGCCCAAAACGCATCCGTCGATGCCTTTGTTGCCCCAAGTTGGCCCAAGATGGCCTCCGAGACGGCCAAGATGGCCCAGGATGACCTCCAAGTTCGCCCAAGATGGTCCAAGATGGCCTCAAAGACGGCCCAAGAGGGTCCAAGATGCCTTCTAAATCGTCCAAGAAGCCTCAAAACGGGCCAAGATGGCTACAAGATAGCCTCAAGATGGCCCAAGAGGGTGCCAAGAGTCCCCCAGGAGAGTCCGAAGAGGTCAAAATCATTGATTGTCCATTGGTTTTATGATTTTGACATATGCGTCTTTTAAGCCAACCCGCTGTCCAAGACGGCCCAAGAGGCCCGCAAGATCGCCCCCAGAGCACCCAAGAGGCCTCCAAGATGGCCCCAGGACGGCCCAAGAGGCCTCCAAGACGGCCCAAAGACGGCCCAAGAGGCTTCCAAGACCCCCAAGACGGCCTCCAAGATGGCCAAGATGGCCCCAAGAAAACCTAAGAGGGCTCCAGGATGTCTCCAAGACAGCCTATGATGCACCCAAGACGGCCCAAGACGGCCCAAGAGGCCCCCCAGAGGCCTCCAAGACGGCCCAAGAGGCCTCCAAGAGGTCCTCCAGGAAGGCCCGAAGAGGCCAAAATCATTGATTGTCCTTTGGTTTTTGAAGGATGTTGGCATTCGTTTCTTCTCGGCTTTCCGACGACCCAAGACGGCCCAAGAGGCCGCCAAGATCGCCCCAAGATCGCCCACGAGGCCTCCAAGAGGGCCCCAGGACAGCCCAAGAGGCCTCCAAGACGGCCCCAAGAGGGCCCCAGGACGGCCCAAGAGACCTCCAAGACGCCCAAGATGGCCTCCAAGATGGCCCCGAAGCGCCCCAAGAGGACCCCAAGTCGGTTCAGAGAGGCCCTCAAGACGGCTCCCGACGGCGTCAGACAGGCCACGAACGTCATAAGACGACCAAAGAGGCCCCCGAGAAGCCCCAAAACGGCCCCGAGAGGCCCACAAGGGGCCCCAAGAGAGCCCAAGATAGCCCCAACATGGCCTGCCAGACGATCCCAAGATGCCCCAATCGAGCCCAAGAGTTCCTCAAGAGGCTCCGAAAAGACATCCTCCCCCTTCTCCTTTTTCCTCCTTCTCCTCCACGTCCTCTTCCTCCCCCACGTGTTCCCCGAAGGCTTTCCAAATCGGCTCGGGGGACACATGGTCCGATAGCATCGCCCCCCAAGATGCCTCCAAGACGGCCCAAGATGCCTCGGAGACGGCCTAACATGGCTTCAATATTGCCCAAGACGGCCCAATATACCCCCAAGAGGTCTCCAAGACGGCCCAAGAGGCCTCCAAGAGGTCCTCCAGGAGGGCTCGAAGAGACCAAAATCGTTCCTTCTCCCTAAGTGTTTCATGGCTGTTGGCATTTGTTTCTTCACGCCATTCCGACGGCTCAAGACGGCCCAAGAAGCCTCTTCCTCTTCCTCTTCATGTTCATTCTCCCCCACCGTGTTCACCGAACGCTTTCCAAACCGATTCGGGGAACACATGGTCCGATAGCTTGGCAGGCCTCTGGCCACAACGTTCGGCCACATAGGCGATCCCGAAACGACAGGGGGCGGCGGTGGGTGACTCGCCGTAGGCGTCTTCGATTAACGCCAACGTCTCAATATGCGCTGATGATTCCTATCCGCCCCCGCTTGATGTTCCCAGATGCGCCAAGGCAGCGCCGAGACGCATCGACACGACTCTCTTATATCCCACTATGATGGAGAGGGGGCCGGCGGCAGGGGGCGAAGCCCTTACGGATAATGTGCACATGTGTGCAATTGGTCAAAATGTTGCGTTGCACGCTTGAGGCTGACGACGTCGTCGTTAGCACGCAGGTTCTCAAAAAGCGGGCACGCTCTCGCGCGTGGCAAGCTGAGACGGCCGTGCGAAAGCGTTCAAAAATACTGGTGGACAGATCTACAAACGTGGTTCGGAGGCGGCGGTTTTGTCACTCCAGGCTGCGGGCTTTCGACAATGGTTTGACGGGGCTTGGGATGCAAACCGAACTGTCTATTTCCCGCCGCGTTGTTGGGGATACGGCGCCGCACTGACCATCAAAACCGTAAATGTCTGGTCTGAAATGACAAAACCAAATGTGACCTGGCGTGTTTTGCTACGGTGTTGCTCCGTTACCTCGACCCCCCCTGTTTACCCCTCCTCCTTCCTCCTTGCCCGCGCAGGTAAAATATGGAAAACCGCTGGCAAGTTACAGGAGACTTTGGATGGCCCCCGCTGGCCCCACAGTTTGATATGTACTCTAAGGCCTGATCTTGTAACCGAATCACCCATCAAGGTTGAAAACAATAGTATTCCACCTCGCTTATCCACACCTTCAGGGTTACCATCAAAACTTCGCCGCCTCCCGCTCGCCTCGTCGTTAAGGCTTCGCCCGCTCACCAGCCGAACCTGTTGTCAAACATCTTTGGTTCGGACTCCGCCCCCTTCCGACTCATCCCGCGCTGATTATCTGTATGGTTTCGCCCCCCATCCTTTCGCCCCCGCAGAACTTCGCTTGCGCACGAAAGCGCTAGCTTGCAAGATGCATGAAGAACCCGCGGCGACTGTGGAATCGATTCGTTTGACCGACGTCACGCATACAGAACAACAGCGACTATTAAAACTTATATCAAACATCGTACTCTTGAGTGTCTTTTCCATTAATGCAAGGTCCCAGAGTGAGCGTCTGAGTTCGTCCAGGCGTCAACGTCAACTCTGCAATAGCGGAAGATATGGGTCGGGATTTGGGAGGGATTGCCGCCCCTCCAGCCTGCAGAAAGCCATGAGGCACAGCGTCAGCGCCTGCGGCACAAGGCGAGGGCCAGACCGCAGCCCCCCTGCTGCGGCTGTCTCCACGCCCCCGGCGGCGAGCCGCGAGAAGCGCCAGAACACAACCCGTGCTGAGGCGCTCCACCGGAGAAGCGCCAGCCCTGCCTCCTCCTCCTCATCCTCCTCCTCCTCCTCCTCCTCCTCCTCCTCCTCCTCCTCCTCCTCCTCCTCCTCCTCCTCATGCTCCTCCTGCTCTTCCTCCTCCTCCCCCTCCCTTTTCCTTGACACGGCGGCGCCAGCCTGTCGGGTTGCTGGGCGTTCGCCAACAAGCAGGCGAACACATAAAATAACATATGTTCTATTGGTTCCGCGGCTCTGCCAGCGACTCAGTCCGGGCCGCAAGGTCGCCCACGAGGGTGCGATTATGCCTCGACGCCAGACTGACCGCTCACGGAGGATCTTTTCCCCAGGGCCCCAAGGGTCGCGCGCAGGCCCACCGCGCGGGCCAGCCAGCGGCGGCGGCGGGGCGGCCCGGCCGCGGCGCCCAACGTCTTGGAGTTCGGCCCGGGCGCCCGGCAGCGGCGGGGCACAGGCGGCGGCGGCGCTGCGGGCAGGCGGCGCCATCGGCCTCGGCCCACGCCGCGCCCGAACTGGCCGCCGTTGCGGCGCGAGCCTCCCGCGCCAGGTTCGCGGCGACCGCCGCCCCCGCCTCGACGTCCAAGCCCGCGCGCAATCCGGCGAGGACGGCCGCCGCCTGGATCGCCACGCCGCCGCCCCGCGGCGGGTAGGCGGCCGCCTCGCGGGCGCGCCATCCCAGCTCAACCTCTGTCAGCTGGAGGTCGACGGCCTCCGTGAGGCATGTGCGAATGCGCCGCTTCCTGCCCGCCCGCGACGGCGCACGCGCGGGTTCCCAACGCCCGTGGAGGGACCGCGCCCCGAGTCCTCGGGGATGGCGCATTCCTCCAAGTAGGCGCGCAACGCCCACATCCACGCGGGGGCCGTCGGCACCGCGACATGCGCGACGGCTGGGCCGGAGCCCCGTCGCGGCGGACTCGACCCCGGCCTCCAACGCCGCCGCTGCTCGGAGAGTCCGCGCGGAGAACCAGTCGCCGCGGGACGCCGAGCTCCCGGAGGAGGAGGGCCCTCGGCACGGGCGCGTCGATGTCCAGGAGGCGACTGGCCCGCCTGTCCTGGACGGCGCATTTAACCGCGCCTCTCAGTCGCGGCGGCCAATGAGGAGGGGTGCCGCCCAACAAGCCAGCACCTGGGCGCCAGCGCCCAGCGCGCGAAGAGCCACCGCCACGGGCTGCCCGAGGAGCTCCAGGGCCGCGAGGAGGGCCATCCAGCTTCGCATTGCGGCGTTCGACGCTCTGCACGAGCGCCGCCACGCGCGCCCCTTCATCGGCGGGGGCGCCCGCGCACGCGCACTCATCGACGCGCTGCGCGCCGTCGCGCAGGGGGCGGGCGCGGAAGCCCTCTGCCAAGCACTCGCGGCCCGCAGCGCTCGAGCCCCCGCGGCCCTGCGCCCCGCAAGGGAAGGCGAGGAGGAGGAGGCATTTGGAGGAGTAGACCGACGATCGCGATTGCGATACCCATATGCAATGCGATGGCGATGATGATGGCGGCTTAAGATGATGAGGATATGGTGGCGATGATGATGATGATGATGATGATGATGATGAGAAGGAGAAGGGCGATGGCGAACACGATTGCGATGCCCCTGTTGAGATTAAGATGTCATTATCACAATGGTGGCGGCGATGGCCATACTAGTTGCGATGATGACGATGAGCATTGCCAGGATGATCAAGCTGGCGACGATGGTGACGACAACGGAGACGCGATCTCGATCCTCGGCCCTCAATCCTCGATCTTCGATCCTCGATCATATCTTGAAACGCTTTGGGAATGAATGGGACATGTATGTTGGTTTGTCTTTACCGTGTCTTTGCGTGTCCTAATCCGTCCTTGTTTGTCTGCGAATGGCTGCGGATGTTTTGATATGTTTTGAAATGTTTTGAAATGCCTCGAGGTGTCCTGAGATGTCTTGGCCATGTATTACAGATGTACTGGGGTGGGGTGAAATGCCTTGAAATGGTCTGACATGTTTTGACATGTATTGAGATGTCTTGGTTCGCTCTTGAAAACCATTGTGATGTCTTGAGATGACACGAAGAAGCCTGGAAACTGCATTGCAATTGTCACAATTTTCGGCCCGAAAATTTAATTCCAGTTTCGGGCCCGAGAACTGATGACATGTTTGATTTGTTGGGGCCGAAAACAAAAAAAACGCGTCCTAGTTGTCGGCCTGAAAATCAGACATGTCTTAGGTGTCATACATGTCGTTGCTGCTATGTCAAAAAAACATATACATGTCAGAGGTTTCGGCCCGAACGCTCAGACGCGTCTCGGCCGCTGGACGGAAACCTCAGCAAGTGCTTATTTACTGTAAGAAGTCGAACCCATGTGCTGTGTATCGGACACGAAAACTAAGCTGCGCCTTCGCGCTCGTGCTCCAGGAGGCAAGCGCGACGCGTCTGACTTGTTCCAGCCAGACAATGCACGCGGCCAGACCGTCAAGACATGGTGAGAGGGCGGGGATTGGGATCGAGGGGGATCGAGGATGGGGATTGAGGATGGAACCTAGGATGGGGATCGGGATCGGGATGAGGATGCTCATGCGATTGACGATGATGACTACGAATAGGGCGATGATGCTGAGATTGATGAGGATGGCTATGATAATGGCGGAGAGGATGATGAGGATGCTGACGATGGCGATGATGATGATGATGATGATGATGATGGTAATGGTGATGGTGATGATTGCGACGATGGTGACGCTGATGATGACGATGGCGATTCCGGTTCTGATCTTGATGATACTGAAGGAGGCTGATGATGGAATGATGATGCGACTAACGATTAAGAGGATGACCATGACGACAAGTTTGATGGCGAGGAAGAATAGGACGAGGAGGAGAAGGAGGGGGAGGAGAAGGCGGAGGAGGAGGGTTCATGATGGTAGTGGCAATACGAACGATGATGAAACAGCGAAGATGATGATGATGATGATGATGATGGTGGCAGTGGTTGTGATGAGCAAGGAGGCGATGACGATCATGGTCAGAAAAATGATGGAGAATAGCGATTATATAGGAGGATGTAATGGAACGTCGCTGGATGTCTTGGATGTTGTGGAATGTCGTTAGATGATTTTGAATGCCGCCAGAATTCTTGAAACCTTCCGACAAAATTGAGACCTCGAAACTCAAGACACTTCGCATTGAATGCGCTGCAGGAGTAGCGGCCAAAACTGAAGGCGGAAGGTCCGGCATAATCAGCGCCAGGGCGCCCGGGCACGCGGCGTGCGTTGGCGAGCGCATCGCAGAACGATTGCTGAAACTGGGCCGCGGCGTCGGCGGGCGGGGCGGCCGGGCCGCCCTGGCGCTCGGGCGGGGGCGGCCGCCGAAGCGGGGGCGCGGGGAGGCTGCGCCTGGGCCAGCTTCGGCGCGCCGGGTGGCCTGGCGCCCCGGCGCCGCGGCGCCCCCGGCCGCGTTCGCAGCGACAGGCGACGGAGGGCGGGGGGGGCAACGGGAGAGGGGGGGGGGGCGGGCGCAAAGCAGAGGAGGGGGCGAAGAGGTGGGTCGGCCAGTCTTCCAAGGGGCGCAATTTCGCATGTTTCCCGACGGGGGAAGAGGACGAGCGACTGCGGGCGACGGCGGCGCGAGGCTCGCGGGGGGCCGTTGGCGCCGCGCACCCCCAGGCTCGCGCCTCTCCTGGACCTCTTTCTCTTTCGGCGTGGCGAGGCGGGCGGGCAGCGCCCGCCCCCTGCCTGGTCGCCGGCCAAAGAAGCCGCCCGCGGGGCCGCTGCCGGCGGCGCGGGGGCGCCGCGGCCCTCGCGCACCGACCGGCGCTCCGCCTTGCCCCCCGCCCCAGTTACGCAGATCGGCCCCAGGGGGGAGGGCGCCCACCGCGGACGGCGACGACGACGACGACGACGACGACGACGACGACGACGACGACGACGACGACGAAGACGGCGGCGGCTGCGGCGGCGGCGACGCGACGACGACGGCGACGACGGCGACGACGGCGACGACGGCGGCGACGACGACGGCGACGACGACGACGACGGCCACGACGGCGACGACGGCGACGTCGACGACGACGACGACGGCGGCGGCGGCGGCGACAGCGTCGGCGGCGGCAACTACGCGGACCAGCCCCCGGCCCCCCGCCCCCCAGGGTTGAACTGCGCGCGCGCTGCCTGGCCAGGGCCGAGGCCGGGGCTGCTGAGTTCAGCGGGGGGGCTGCGGCAGCTGGGCTCCGGCTGCGCCCGTCGGCCGCCGGGGGCGCTCCGCGATGGCCCGCCCCGCGGGGCTCGGGGCCCTCGGCCCCCCTCGGGCCTTCAAAAAATCCCGCTGCTAGCGCCCGGATTTTCCGAGAATCGGGGCGCTAGCCCCCACTGTTTCTCTCCGACCAGTCGGGCCCCCCCAGGGGCCCTGCCGCGTGGCCCCGGCGACGGCGCGAAGCTCCGCGACATGGGAGTCGGCCGCCGCGACCGAGCCGCAGCGGGTTTTCGCGGAGCGCTCGAACATGGCATCGGTGCCGACGCGGGCGCCGCGCCTGGCCTCTGTCCACTCGCGGTCGTCCGGGAGCACATTCCCGGGGCAACCCAGCTTGCTGATCCTCCAGAAGTTCTTCGAAGCAAAGACGCCCATGGCAGGCCTTCGAGCTCCCAGATCCGCGCGCGCGCCCCGCTTGCTGCGCCTCGTCTGGCCGGCGTCTTTCGCGCGACTGGAGCGGGCGTTTTTGCGGACCTTCTAGACGGACGCCGCCTTGGCCGCTGCCGATCAGCAGCCGCCCATCTTAGCAGACTCGTTCCGCCACCTCCATCGCAGGTATTAGAACGCGGCGAAGCACTTCTACATCCGCCGCCCTCCGGCTGCCATCCGCGCCCCTGCTCGCCCCAGTTTCCAGCGGGCGGCGCCCGCAGTTGAAGCCGCCCCCGACGGTGCAACAGCCAGCAA